GTGTGTGTGTGTGTGTGTGTGTGTGTGTGTGTGTGTGTGTGTGTGTGTGATGCATCAAATGCATTTCAATTTTTTCCATAATTAGAAAAGAACTTAAAAGACAGCTCCTTAAATAATCACAGAGAACCATCAGTTTTCTCAAGGTACCTGTAATCATGCTGGATATAATTAATGGCAAAATGATGAGTTTCAGCATCCTCATTAGGATTTCCCCGGGAAAAGCAAAGTAGAATTTCTCCAGACTAGAGAGCTTGCTGTATTCTCGAACCAAGACTCCTATGGTGATCCCTAAGAAAGATTGGAAAGAAGAAAAGAAAACCAGCATTGAGTTCTTCTTTGTACATTTCTATGGAAAAATATCCCCCCACCCGAACCCCTATATTTTATTGGCAAGAAAAACAGTTTAGACGGTTTTCCACAATTCTGTAAATTTTATTTATTTTATTTATTTATTTTTAAGATTTTATTTATTTATTTGACAGAGAGACACAGCAAGAGAGAGAGAACACAAGCAGGGGGAGTGGGAGAGGGAGAAGCAGGCCTCCCACCGAGCAGGGAGCCCGATGCGGGGCTCGATCCCAAGACCCTGGGATCATGACCTGAGTCGAAGGCAGACACTTAATGACGGAGCCACCCAGGAGCCCCACGGTTCTGTAAATTTTAGACTTAAAAAACAAATCACATTTTATTTTTTTTAAGATTTATTTATTTATTTGACAGAGAGAGGCACAGCGAGAGAGGGAACACAAGCAGGGGGAGTGGGAGAGGGAGAAGCAGGCTTCCCGCGGAGCAGGGGGCCCGATGCGGGGCTCGATCCCAGGACCCTGGGACCATGACCTGAGCCGAAGGCAGACGCTTAACGACTGAGCCACCCAGGCGCCCAAAACAAATCACATTTTAATGAACACAAAGTACACACTATTCAGTGAGTTTGTAAAAAATATTCTTCACGTGAAAATTTTTTTCATTTTTCTCCTCCAATTATATTTATTATGACAAAACATCAAAAAAAAAAAAAAACAACAACACCGTGAGAAGGAAAAGAAATTCATCATCTTTGTCAACCCAAAATAACTACTTTTGTTTTTACACACTCCCCTTAGTGTTCATCTACCTTAGGTATTTTACATTTTATTTTAATTTATTTTATTTTAAGTAATCTCTACCCCCAACATGGGGCTCGAACTCACCACCCTGAGATCAAGACTCACACGCTCTTCGGCTCAGCCAGCCAGGTGTTTTACATTTTATAGTTTACATATCAATGTTCATTTTTCTCATTTTCTCATAAATACTCTTTTCATGATAGTTTTATGACACTCTATTTATGCAACTTTTGTGATTTTAATAGCAACATAAGGTTCTCTTGGTTTGATATATTTACATGTTGCTGAACAACTGTGCTGTCTAATGCTCTCTATTCTGTGTTGGCTATTTCTAGATGATGATGTGTCCAAATTGGTCTGATCAAGAGGCTTTTTATGAAGCTACTGAACCTGAGTACTTTGGACACTGAAGCTGGTATTTCTGTGAGTGTAGGGAAATGTTCAAAATCAAGAAATGTTACACAGTGGACCCCTGAACAATGCTGGGGTTCAGGGCACCAATCCCCACACAAATGAAAATCCACATATAACTTCTGTCTCCACAAAAACATAATTGATAACAGCCTGCTGTTAACAGAGCCTTACCCAGAACATAAACAGTCAATTAATGTGTATTTTGTATGCTATATGTACTGTGAACTGGATTCTTACAATAAACTAAGCTAGAGAAAAGAAAATGTTATTAAGAAAGTCATAAGGAAAAGACATTTACAGTGCTGGACTGCATTTATTGAAAAAGAAATTCGTGTGTACATGGACTCGCACAGGTTAAACCCATGTTGTTCAAGCTCTGAAAGCTTGCCTTCACAAGACGTCTACATGAATTCTTTCCTTGTGCTGGTTTTGGTAACTACAAATCACTAATTTTAAATATTTCTTACTTATTCTCTCCCGAACGGTCCCAATGTCTAACTGCCTTACTTCTTCTGACCCTCACACATTGCTGCTTTGCAACACCCCCTTTTATATTTTTAAAGATTTTATTTACTTATTAGAGAGAGAGAGAGAGCATGAGCAGGGGGAAGGGGAAAGAGAGAATCTAAAGCAGACTCTGTGCTGAGTGTGGAGCCCACTGTGGGGCTCGATTTCATGATCCTGAGATCACTACCGGAGCTGAAACCAAGAGTCAGATGCTTAATGGACTGGGCCACCCAGGACCCCCCTTATATATCTATATTTTATTTTTATTTATTTGACAAAGAGAGAGAGACAGCGAGAGAGGGAACACAAGCAGGGGGAGTGGGAGAGGGAGAAGCAGGCTTCCCGCCGAGCAGGGAGCCCGACGCGGGGCTCGATCCCAGGACCCCGGGATCATGACCTGAGCTGAAGGCAGACGCTTAACAGTAGAGCCAACCTTTTATATTTTTTTAAATTTATTTCTTTTAAGGAATCTTTCCACCCTACCTGGGACTCAAACTCACAACCCCAAGATCAAGAGTCACACGCTCTTCCGAATGAGCCAGCCAGGCGCCCCATCACACGCCCCATGTTTTTTAAACCAAGACATAAGATGGGCCGGGATGACTTGCACATGCTCTTCCTTCATCAGCCTCTGAGGATGATATGCAAATGGGAGATAAAATGGCTAAACAGCAGAAAGACTCAAGCAGGACCTCACTGAATCTGCTCCTTTACAAACTCAAATAATTAGTTTGTGAAAATTTAGTTACCCGGGCACAGTTAAGAACTCTAGGGCAACAAAGACAGATGTGAATTATAATCAATACTAGAGTTTTCATTTAAATCCAGGTATACTTCCCATGTCCGTGAGCAGGGCCAAATAAAGGAACCCCACAAGATACCTCTGTGTAGTGACCTTATCCTTGGTTGGTTTAATTTTATTTTCCTACCTGATCCACCATTGTCCTGATCTCTTTATTTGGGGCATGCATTTCTATATGTATTTCTGATCAGCCATTTTTAATTATTTTTGGAACAAACATATACAAAAACACTTCTCAAATTGTAGCCAAGACCAGAAAAAAAAAAAAAGCTCAATATCAATCCTGCTTGATTCATATTTCAAAACCTAGGGTTAAAGATTCCTAAATGGTTCAGAACGGCAAGGATTCAAAATATTTTCAGCGAATTTAAAAAGCACATTGTGCTCACTTCCTACTTAATAAATGCCTATGTTCAGCTGTCCTATATGGAACATACCTACTTTATGCTGTAAGGATACTCTGTAGTGTTCAGTGTTTAAAGAAACCAAACAGACATTCTCTCTCATACTCTTTAGGTTGCCTCGAGTAAATTTTTGGCTTGTATGTCAAAGAAAGCTCTGTGTGTAAAAAGAAAGGAGATGTGTCTGTGTTCAAAAACCCACCACAAAAGCACTCTGTTGAGTAGCAAAAGAACCCCAGGTGCTCCAATTTTAGGGTTTATATTACTAGCGATTAACTGTGTCTCTAATCATCTCCATCCCAAATAAATGCAGGGAAATTAGAAAGAAGTGTACTTGCTATTTTTCAGCCTTTATCCAGATAATGGGTTTTTATGGGAGACATAAAAGAGTCACCACAAAGAGCCATTTCAAAGCTATCAGAGGGACAAGCACCACGAATAGGTTATTCTGTTTAGTAACGAAAACTTTCTATCAAGTGTGTTTTTGAAGTTGAGTATCACAAGTTGTAATTTCTCCCTCCCACCCTTCCTTTTTTTTTTCTGAAAAGGAGGAGAATATAAATACCAACCAAGACCTGGAAAAGCATTTGAAAGATTTACCCTGGGCCAGAGATGCCATCCCAGAACCCTCAAGTGTTCTTGTAAAGAACTTCAGCCAGGAGTTACACCTTGTAAATGCACGTGTTTTATCTGGGTCTCAAAGCAGTCTGGAGAAATTGGATGCCTGATAAGAAAAATCAGCGGAAGATTTTCCAGGTCCCAAGATGAAGTCAGGATTTCACGGGGCACAGTGAATCTCTACCCTCTTCCAGGGCCAGAATGGTGGACTAGATTTAAGAACACAGAGGGTGTCCAGAGTCAAAGGCTGCTGGGAATACGAACCTGCCTGAAGGTACACGGGTCAGACCCACCTGACAAGACCACTCCCAGAACTAGGGACGGTCAAGATCAAGAACCTCTCTGAATGGCATAGCTCTCCAGAGGCCTTGGGCAGGGCCAACAAGGAAGCCCAAAGGTAAAATTGTTATGTAGACCTCTGGAGCCCCAGAAATTACCAGGAAGTCATTCTCAGGCGGCTTTCTCTCACTCAGGCAAGAAGATCCCAAGCAGGTATGAAGGCAGCTTGGGAAGAGCTCCGTGTTAGCACCACTGGCTCGAGTTCCGGCTCTGCCATTTACAAGGTTTGTAACTTGGGCCATAATTTTAACCCCTCCCATCACTGAGTGGTGGGATTGAAGGTATGGGGCAAGAGGCTTGGATGAGATGCCCTCAAGGTCCATTCTAAGGCACAAGATGCTGTGATAATCCCTGAGCGTTGGTGTCCTCAGCTTTAAAATGGGCTCATAGGGGGCACCTGGGTGGCTCAGTCAGTTAAGCACCTGCCTTCCCCTCGGGTCATGATCCCGGGGTCCTGAGACTGAGCCCCATGTCGGGCTCCCTGCTCAGCGGGGAGCCTGCTTCTCCCTCTCCCTCTGCCATTCGCCTTGCTTGTGCTCTCTCCCTGTCAAATAAATAAACAAAATCTTAAAAATAAAATAAAATAAAATAAAATAAAATAAAATAAAATAAAATGGGCTCATAGGACCTGTTCATTGGCTCCTAGAGAGCTGGCTGGGCCTTCCCCACTGTTCATGCTACGTGTATCAGTAAAATAGGGAAGGAAGAAACTCAGGAGGAAAACAATTAAGACCTCAGCTGGAGATTTCTTCTTCAAGTTCATGTTGTCTCAAACAATTGACAGTCCAGTAGCCCTATCTTGGAAGAAATGGGGTGATTTTTTTTCACTCTAAGCTCATAAAAAATTATTGTTCAAGAAATAATTCTGGAGGGGCGCCCGGCTGGCTCAGTTGGTGGAGTCACAATGGGTGTAGAAATTACTTAAAAATAAAAGAAATAATTTTAGAAATGAAAATAAAAGAAAAAGTCATGTAAAATAATTTATACTGACCTATCCTCCCCCTCCCCCACTTTTCAGGTTCTATCCAGCCTTTGTTCTTACGTACATGTGTTTTTTTATAGTTATAAAAATTAATCCGGGGATAGTAGCTGAATTGCATT